GGTGAGTCTGCATCCTGTGGAAATATACAAGCATCTCCTCTCCCCCAGGTTAAAAGTACATCAGGTCCCTTCCAGGCTCCTGTAAGTAAGTCTTTCCATTTGACGAAATAAGTGAGTTTCTGCTAAATGAAAGTTTCTTTTGCTGATTTACTCAGAGTCCTCGGACTTGGCTGAGAGAGTAGCTTCCACTTCTTGCTTTTCTACCATCTGTTGGGCCTCAGTTGTTAACTTCTTCAGCTGACCCCATGTTGGCACCTCGGTCCCTTGCGTAGCCTTCGTCATCTTCCTTTTCCGCTTTACTGTCATTGGGGCAACTCTAAGTCTTTTGAATGATGGGACAAGGAGCTTCTCTGGGTCCATTGTGGTGCCGCTCGTAATGCTCTGGTACCCACATTGGCTGCACTGCTCCTTCTGGAAAGATACAAAACACAACCTCTTCCCTACATCATTACTAGATCCAGTAAAACTCTCGTCTGGTTTGTGTATCCTTCTACTGGGCTAAGTCGGCGGAGGCTATGCTATTGTACAGGAGGTCCGATGCCTTTTGGCTGCTGTACAACCCCCTGCATTGTAATTTTAAAAAATTTAACATATAACTTCTTCTCCCCCTTTTTTGTTTTTATAGAAAAGGTTTATATTGATGGAATTCTGACCATATATAAACATACATACTGCTCTGTATTCACAACTTCCCACTTCAACCCAAAAACCACAGCTTCACATTTTTACTGTGAATTGGCTCCACCCCCGAGCCTCAGCGCCTCAAAACAAAACCCCAACTTCAAGCCAAACTGTTTTTCCTTTTGTGTCAAGAGCTAACTTTGATATGTTAAAACTAAGTAAAATCCACTTACTCAATCCAAAACGGGCATTAAAAAGAAAAACCTCAAATGCTCTCTTGTATCCATTTTAAGAGTAGGATTGGCGCTTTCCGCTATTACCTGAGTCCTGATCTATCCCCCCAGGGAGAGCTTGCCAATCCTGCACTTTCCCGGGGTGGAAAGGCTGCAGTGGGGTTAAGGATAAGGCTCCTTGGGCCTACCTTCTCCCATGCCTCTACATTTACCTTTCCGGCACCTTTCCTTCCTCAGAAAAGCATGGACACACTTGTATAAAACGTTCCATCTGACTGGGAGTAACCTTAACTCCTCTGCTAGCAAGCATGTGTTAAAAGATCAATACAGAGGCTTTTTCCTTTGGACTCAGTATGGCACATCTTCTCAATCTAAGTTCTGTACTATCCACCTTCTTACCCTACTTATCCTCTATAGGGGGGTCTGCAGTACCCTGGTGGAGTCCTATCCATCACGAGTGTGGGGGTTCTCAATGGGGGGGGCTTACCTAGGGGAATCCTGTTCGGCCTGTCCGGGCGCCATATGCCGGGGTCCAGCCCCAGGGGTTCAAGGGTTCCCAAAGGTGTGGACGGAGTCGGCGAAGAATGTTTTACACGGAGACAGTGTTCAGAACTCTCTAGCTCTCTTTAGTCCCTGTGGATCTTCCTGTGCCTGGCTGAGGCCACAGAGAAAGATCCTGAGGCAAACTGAGCCTTTATTTTATAGTCAGAGGTAAATAAGGTAGTGGTTACCAAAGTTACACTGTTCTTGTGAGTTTCACTTGTTTTTGTTCTTGTTCTTGCTGCACTTCCCTCAGCCCATTAGCTTCCCAGATAAGATCTAGGGAGCTCATAAAGTCAAGCCTAATTAAGCTTAAAAGGACTGTGCCTTCTAAGCTGGGACTTGTTTGTGACTTTGCCAACAGGTCAGTCCGAGGTTTAACCCTATATCGGCTCCCCACATTCCCTCACTCTCCCTTTAAAATGCCCAGTTACCTCTGTATAAAGTGAAGTGGAGTTCAGTTCATGCTGGACTCTTCCCTTTTGCAATGGTATATTACTGATTAAAAATCTGTCCTTACCACTTTAACTATGTCTGGCTTTATTTACCTTTAACAACTTGGAGGCTATATTATGTGTTTGGGGATGATTTTTAAAAATGATTTAGAGGAGGATTCTAAGAAGATGGTGGGATAGGTCACACAAGGAATTCATCTCCCCACCTTGACAACAATTGCACTGGCAGAATCTGTCTGGCAGAATCTGTCTGATGTAATTGTTTTTGGAATTCTAGAGTCTGTCAAAAGCTTACAACTTCCAAGGGAAGACCTGGACAGAATTACAGTTAATTTTGGTCAATTTCAGCTTTTAGCACAGTAGCAGCTACCCCTCTCAACCACATGGCAGGCAGCTGTGCATGTGTTCCTGGAACGGCTTGCCCACAGCTTGTGGGAGCTAGGGTAGGCCAAGAGGACCATGTATTCCAAATATCTTAGATCTGTATTCTAATCACTAACTGCTGTTTCTGATCCCAAAGGTGCAGGAAAAGAGGCAGATAGCCATTATTGTTGCACCTCTCCCCCTTCTTGCAAGTCACTTCCAGGGAATTTAAAGGGCTTGTGCCCTTTCCTCCCCCCTTTATTTTTTGCTTTTCCCCCTTTTAGGAGTCAGAAATGAAAGACTAGGACATTCAAAAACAATTGCATTCATGGGAAAAATTAGAAAGTGACTGTGCATGTCCAGGGAAAGGATTAGAAAATGCTTCGGAAGACTTGTTTAGACCTCATGCTGATCCATGGAACAGAGGCAGGCTACAATAATAAATAAATAAAACACAATAAACAGCCTGGCCAGTGTGGCTCAGTGGTTGAGCATTGACCCATGAACCAGAAGATCACGGTTGGCTTCCTGGTTAGGGCACACACCTGGGTTGCAGGCTCGATTCCCAGTAGGGAGCATGCAGGAGGCAGCCGATTGATGATCTCTCTCATCATTGATGTTTCCATCTCTCTCTCCCTCTCCCTACCTCTCTGAAATCAATAGAAATTTTAAAAAATAAAACAAGGTATCTAGATGGGGTGGAGCTCAGAGCTAGACAGCAATACCACAGATGCAACCCAGGGAGGGAGCTGACAGAGAGCCGGGCCATTCTTGGGCTCCTCCATTCTGATTTATTAACACGTTTTATCAGTTTGTGAAGCATTGAAATACTCGTTTTGGAATGTTCTGTTGTTGTCTTTCAGGAGTTTCTGTGGGTCTAGGGCTATGTGGTCAAGCACTAGGGCTGACTGAGATGTGAACAAAGCACAAAATTTGAGCTACTGTGCTGAGGACACAGACATGAATGGACCCCTGTTGTAAGGGACACCAGGCTCCTGGGAAGATGGATCCTGATCCGACTTCAGGCTCCCTGATTCCTTCCCATCCATCCTTCCAACTTTATTTCCCTCTGCTTCCCAAACTTCCTTCTGTTCCAACCAGCAGGTCTCTAAGGCTTTCTTACCTCCGGGCCTTTTCCTGAGCTATTTCCTACACCAGTAATGCCCTCCCAATATCCCTTTCTCTTTCTTTCTATGAAACTCCTACCCATCATTTACTGCTTTTCTCCTTTATCTCCTCCCACCAGAAAGCCATGTATGATCAGGAAGTGACCTTGCCCGCTCCTGAAATTTAATGGCACTTACTACAAATAGCTCTCACATGGCTTAGTCATTTGAATGCCTTCCTGTAAGGGGGAGAGGAAGGTTATATCTTTGCACTCTCAGCTAGGTCAGTGGCCAGGGGAGGCCTCACCTAGTTTAGGGAGGAGATGGTCAAGATAAGACTGCTGTGCCCTCGCTGGTTTGACTCAGTGGATAGAGTGTCAGCCTGTAGACTGAAGAGTCCCAGGTTCGATTCTGGTCAAGGGCATGTACCTCGGTTGCAGGCTCCTCCCGGCCCGGGCTCTGGTGAAGGTGTGTGCAGAAGGCAACCAATCGATGTGTTTCTCTCACATCTTAGATCAATATTTCTCTCTGTCTTTTCCTCTCTCTCTCTTCCACTCTGTCTAAAAATTAATGGAAAAATATCCTCGCGTGGGGATTTTTAAAAAAAGGTAAGACTGCTGTAGTCTTCTTGCTGCTGTCCAAGAATGCCCCACCCCCCATTTTGGGGTCCAGCCTTACTTTCCTCTAGGCTGCCCACATACAACAAGACCCAGAGGTGGCTCCAGAAATAAATATGGTTCCAACCAAAGTTTGAGAGGGACAAAAGGGCTCCTGGTGAGGGGACATGGGCAGAGATGGGAAGACTGGAGGCTAAAGATGTTGAGGTTAGCCCAATCATTAGTTACACCCACCATTGGGCCCCTTCACAGCACCTTACTCCACAGGCGAGGTAACATTACAGAGGGGTTCATGTGAGAACAGTGAGAGGCCCAGGGCTTTCTCCCAGGTCTCCTCATTGTCACTGGGGAAGATGTGAATCCAGGGAAGTACAGACTGGGACCATCCTTGAAATGTCAAGGACTAGGGATAAAATGTTGAAATAAAGCCAAAATAGGTCACTCCTTCTCCCCACAGGAGAGAGTCAGGGATGGTTGGGAATGTTGGGCCAGTATGCTCACCACCCACTCCACTGTCATGATCTGAATTGTGGATGCAGTTGATGGTGTGAGGGGGTGGGAGTCGACATGCTGACCAGAGTTGCCTCTGAAGTCATGGTGGGTGGGATAGGGCAACATTGATTTGCATGATGTCAGGTGAGTAACTGGTACTTGGTGTGAGGCAAGTGGAAACCAGTGATGGTTGGTATGTCAGTCAGGAGATACCACGTTATGCTGAGATAATCAACAATCCTAAAGCTCAGTGGCTTATAATAGCAAAGGTTTATTTCTCACTTATAGTACTTGCCCATTTCAACATCTGTGCTGTCCTCTACATCATCTTTACTTGAGCACCCAGGTTGATGGAGCAGCCTCTATCTGGGACATTAGCAGTCTCGTGACAGCAGGAAATGACAGATGGCAAAACCACAAGCTGGCTGTTCAAGCTGCTTTCCAGAGATGACATGTGTCCCTTCCACCCACGTTTCGTTGTCCAAAGCAAGTCACATGGTGGCACCTGAGTTTGACAAGACAGGGATATAAAACGCTTCATCAGGGAGAGGCACCACAGGTCTGACGCCAAGCTTACTATCAGTGGGGAGAGAAGGTACAATCTACTGTAGAGAGGGAAAGTAAATATGTTGAACAATAACAAAACCTACCACAGCTGGGATCCTGGCAGTGGTTATGGTCTATGCTAATCAAAATCCATCAATGCCCAGCCGGTGTGGCTCAATGGTTGAGCATCAACCTATGAAGCAGGAGGTCACGGTTCGATTACCAGTCAGGGCACATGCCTGGGTTGCGGGCTTAATCCCCAGTAGGGGGCATACATGAGGCAGCTGATCAATGATTCTCTTTCATCATTGATTAGAGGCCCGGTGCACAAAATTCATGCACTCGGGGTGGGGGGGGGGGCTCAGTCCAGCCTGTGCCCTCTTGCAGTCCGAGAGCCCTCGGGGGATGTCCATGGGGAGCGGGCATAAGCCAGCAGTAGGACATCCATAGAGGCTCCCACCACTGCCACTGTGCTCGCCAGCCCACCAGCTGTGAGCCCAGCTCAGGGCTTCTGGCTGAGCAGCACTCCCCCTGTGGCAGCTCCTGCATTGAGAGTCTGCCCCCTGGTGGTAAGTGCACGTCATAGCAACTGATCGTGTTGGGGTTTTTTTTGCCGTTCAGTCAATTTGCATATTAGCCTTTTCTTATATAGGATGTTTCTCTCTCTCCCTCTTCCTTCCTCTCTGAAATCAATAAAAATATATTTAAGAAAAAAATCCATCAATGACATCGGCAGACAGAATCAAACTCCTGGTGGGTCTTTATGTGTTTGCCAGACAAAGCTAATGAAGAAGGTTCCTCTGGTGATAGGATTAGGAGAACCAGATGGCATGCTAGTGGGCTCATCCCCAACCCCAGTAGTCAAAGATGCTGGAGAACTGCCCACCCTTATACTGGATACTGCAGCTATGTTAGAAAAGGGAGGGGAGGGGGTCCCAGAACTGAGGAGATTTGACAACATGCTCATAGAAGTATTGGAAGTGATTACTAACAATGGGAAGGAGGTACCTTCAATATTGGGTCCTACATCAATATATGGAGTAATGTGAGAAGCAAGAGATGGTAACAACTGGTGTCATTTCTGGACATTTTGTAAAAAAAATAAGACAGTAATGGAGAGAATTTTGGTATTGGTGGGAGATGGTGGAACATGACCACATCTAAAAACCAAGAAATAGGGTAATAATGGATAAGAATTAGCTCACAGTGGAATATATACAGTACAACTCCATTTATGACTTTTAAAGGCTAATTAATCAATATTTTGATTAATATTCCACGTGTGTGATAAAACCATAAAGAAAGTCAAAGTACTTATTAATATAAACTTCGGGATAGCAGTTATTCCAAAAGAAGGAGCTATATGCAATTGGTGAGAAGCACCTAGGGTGTCTCTAAGTATGTGATGTTCAATTTCCTAAGCTGGGTCGTGGATATATGGATGTTTTTTTTATTATTCTTTAATCATGTGTGTGTTTTCCATACTTTTTATGAATAATGTATTTCTCAAAAAAATAATTTAAGGGAATCGACAGTAACATACATTCTAAATAATCAAATAAGCTATTTTTAAAAAGATTTTTTACTGAGTTTTAGAGAGAGAGGAAGGGAGAGGGAGAGAAACAGTCATGTGAGAGTAAAGCATCCAACAGCTGCCTCCCGCATGCCCACATTTTCTTTATCTATTCAACCAAACACTTAAGTTGTTTTTATGTCTTGGCTATTGTAAGTAATGCTGCAATAAACATGAGGGTGCAGGCATCTTTTCAAGTTAGTGTTTTTGTTTCCTTTGATAAATACCCAAAAGTGGAATTGCTGGATCATATGATGGTTCTGCTTAATATTTTGAGGACCCTCCATACTGTTTTCCATAGTGGCTGCACCATTTTCATTCCCACCAACAGTGCATAAGGATTCCCTTTTCTCCACATCCTCACCAACACTTGTTATCGCTTGCATTTTTTATAATAGCCATTCTAATAGGGATTAAGTGATATCTCATTGTGATTTTGATTTGCATTTCCCTAATGATTAGTGATGTTAGCACCTTTTCATGTACCTATTTGCCATCTGTATGGCTACAGTATGTTTATGATATAGAAATGTCAGGTGTAAAACATTAATCAACTTTTGAAATGTCTGTTTCCATGTGAAGTTTTTTCCATCAATCGATCTATCTCTGTTTTTCTCCTTTGTTTTATGCATGCACAGTACTCCTAGGAACAATCAAGTGCTTAGCTCACACTTAGTGGCAGCCAGTTTTGTTTTTAACTTTCTTATCAGCAGTTTCATTTTATCACCACTGCTTTAGTACAGTTTTTATAAATTCATCATAGGCTTTATGATTTAATCCAAAAACTGTAGCTTGAGAAAGAAAAATGGGGGGAGGGAATGAGAGAGAGAGCTTGCCTGTTTCTGTCTGCAATATGACTTCATACACTATCGTTTCTGATTCTAAGGAGAACTAATACTCTAATAAATTAAGTATGGGATTTATCTTCTTAGGAGGAATGCTCACATGAAGTTAGAAAAATGAATGCTACCATTTATGAATTTATGGGTTTCTTGTTTTGTTTTTTATTGATTTCAGAGAGGAAGGGATAGGGAGAGAGAGAGATAGAAACATCAATGATTAGAGAGAATCATTGATCGGCTGCCTCCTGCACACCCCCCACTGGGGATCTAGCCCACAACTGTGCATGTGCCCTTGACCAGGATTGAACCTGGGAACCTACAGTTTGCAGGCCAGGGGATGTCCACCTGCCAGCTTAGGCCCATGGGAAGCAGGCCTAAGCTGGCAATTGGACATCCCTCTCACAGTCTGGGATCCCTCACTCCTTATTGTCCGCCTTCTCACTGCTCCTTAGCATTGCCGCGGAGGTGGGAGAGGCTCTTGCCACTGCCTCTGCACTCGCCAGCCATGAGCCCGGCTTCGGGTTGAGCAGTGCACTCCTGTGAGAGCACACTGACCACCAGGGGGCAGCTCCTGCATTAAGCGTCTGCCCCCTGGTGGTCAGTGTGCATCATAGCTACCGGTTGAACAGTCACTTAGGCTTTTATATATCTACTAGAGGCCCAGTGCATGAAATTCGTGTACTCGGAGGGGTCCCCCAGCCTGGCCTGTGCCCTCTCACAGTGTGGGAGCTGCGCGATTGATCGTCCCAAAGAGGTAGGCCCTACCCACCCATCCAGGGCTCCTCGATGGATTGCCCCAAAGGGTAGGCCAGAGCCGGGGGTCCCACCTCTGTGCCACGCACACAGCGTCAAGCCCCTGCCCACCCATGCGTGAACACAGCCCCACCCACCCGCATGCACCAACTGCGCACGCAGCCTCCTGGTGATCTCTTGTTGCGGCGTGAGGGCATCACAGCATGAGTGCATGATGACCACATAGGCTTTTATTAATAGGATATAATAAAAGCCTAAGCCACTGTATTGGTGGAACGACCAGAACAACTGGTTGCATAATGTGCACTGACCACCAGGGGGCAGACGCTCAACGCACAGGCATAGAAACATGGAATAGACTGATGAATCTCAGAGGGAAGAGGGGAGGGGGGAGGGTGGGAAGAGATTAACCAAGGATCTTATATGCATACTAGAGGCCAGATTCATGCACCGGTGGGGTCCCTCGGCCTGGCCTGTGGGGATCCAGCTGAAACTGGCAGTCCAACACCCCCCATGGGGTCCCAGATTATGAGAGGGAGCAGGCCAGGCCGAGGGACCCCACTGGTGCATGAATCCATGCACCGGGCCTCTAGTTCAGTGATAAAAAGAAATAATTTATCAAGCCATGAAAAGACAGGAGGAAATCTTCAATGTATATTTCTACATGAAAAAAGCCAACCTGAAAAGGCGACATACTGTATAATTCCAACTGTATGACATTTTGAAAAAGGCAAAATTGTGAAGAAAGTAAAAAATATCAGTGGTTTCCAGGAGGTAGGGCTGGGGATGGGGATGAATACGTAGAGCACAGAAAATATTTAGGGCAGTGAAAATACTCTGTATGATACCATAATGACAGATACATGTCATTGTACATTTGTCCAAACCAATATATGTACAACACCAAGAGTGAACTGTACTGTAAGGTATGGACTTTGAGTAATTATGATGTGTCAATGTAGGTTCATTAATTGTAACAAATGTTCTATTCTGGCATGGGATGCTGATGATGAGGAAGGCTATGCAAATGAGACAAAGACATTACAAGAAAATTATAAAACACTATGCCTCATGAATATAGACATAAAAATCCTCAATTGTGGGGAACCCATATAGGGTTAAGCCTCGGACTGACCTGTTGGCAAAGTCACAAACAAGTCCCAGCTTAGAGGGCACAGTCCTCTTAGCATAATTAGGCTTGACCTTATAACACTCCCTAGATCTTATCTGGGAAGCTAATGGGCTGAGGGAAGTGCAGGAAGTGTAACTATGGTCACAACAAGTGAAACTCACAAGAACAGTGTAACTATGGTAACCACTACCTTGTTTACCTCTGACTATAAAATGGTTGGTGCGGCCTGAGCACCGGTGGAAGTCCTTCCTCTTGAGTTGGACTTACCCGCCTGGCCCCCCAATATTCCCAAATTATCTCTTGTCTTTTCTCTTTCATTTGTGTGCGGCTCCTCTTCCAGATCCTGAACCCTGAACCACACGGGACGTGGAGGGAAACATTTACAACACTCAATAAAATATTAGCAAATAAAATTTAACAATATATAAAATGATTTATCTTGAAGATATAACATATAACACATATGAAGATATGAGTTATTAATACCTATGCACCAATTTACAAAGCATCAACATTTTTATAGCTAAACCTATACAAAATATAAGAATAGACAGAAAAAAAAAAGAATAGACAGAAACACACATCAAACTTCTAGAGATAAAAACTCCAATGTGTGAAGTTAAAAGTACATGAATGGGATTAGCCAGACTGTATATTGTAAAACAAAAATTATTGAAATTAAAGTTACAGCAATAGAAACTATACAAAAGGAGACAGAGAGTAAAAACAAGAAAAAAATTGGAGCTATGAGGTAAGTTAAATGGCCTAATATCTATGTTTGGAGTTATAAAAAGAGGGGAGAAAGATGGGTGGCAGGGAAAAAAGCACTTGAAGAAATATTGGCTGAAAAAAATTCCAAATTCAGTGAAAACTACAAATTCACAGATACTGGAAATTCAATGAACTCCAAGCATAAAAAAATGAAGATGACAGCACTGAGGCACATTACAGTCACATTGCTTAAGACCAGTGATAAACAGAAAATCTTAAAAGCAGCCAGAGAAAAAAAGATTGATTATATACAAAGTGACAAAGATAAGGATGACAAGAGATTTCTCATGGGAAACAAAACAGAACAGAAATTGTGCAGCAATAGAGTAATGAAAGAAAAACTCTGTCAACCTAGAATTCTACACCTGGCAAAAATATCTTTGAAAGAAGGAAGGCAAATAAAGACACTTTTAGACATACAGAAACTGAAATGATTTATTACCAGGAGCCTCTCACTACAAGAACAGTTAAAGGACCTCCTTTAGGCAGAAGGAAAACCATATCAGATGGAAATCTGAATCTACACAAAAGAATGAAGAGCACAGGAAATGATAAATACATGGGAAATGAGAGAGAGAGAGAGACAGATCTGCTAAAGATACTCGACTTTAAACAAAAGTAATAACTATGCATTGTGGAGTTCAAAACATACATAAAAGTAAAATGCATAGCAACAATAACATAAAGGCCAGGAGAGGAGAAATGAGGTATATACTGTTTTAAGATTGTTATTAATATATAGAAAATAATATAATATCTCTTGAATGAAAAATCGTCATATCAACATCCCGTACCTCCTGATATGGGTACTGTGAAGGGCACAGCATCACTTCTGCAATATTCTGGTCAATAGTGAATAAACTTAATTTAATCATGAGGAAATATCATACAAACCCAGATTGAGGAACAATTTACAAAATAACTAGCCAGTGCTCTTCGAATGTGTCAAGGTCATGAAAAACCAAGAACAACTGAGGATGAACTGTCTAAACTGGAGGAAACTAAGGAGACAGGACAACTAAGTAGAATGGGTGATCCTGGATTGGCTCCTAGACCAAAAATAGGACATT